ACCCCCCCCCCCACACTTAAGCACGACATTGCCCTCAATGGAGTAGAGGGAGAGATAAGGGGAACGATGTTACCGGATTGAAACACTGCTGGGGGACTGGAAGTGGACCAGTCAGCGGGGCTAGCATCAGCAAAACACACTGGGTGATAGAAACCATAGTTCCAAGTGGACAAACCGACAAAAACAAACGAAATAAAAACAAACCTTGGTGGGGTTGCCTCCCCACAAGCGCTTCTTTACCGTCTTTTAGCTGGACGCCAGTATGGATGCTCAGGGAAGTGTAGGATCAGGTGCCTTCAAGAGCGGATCCACATCGCTCTTGAGGTACAGCTTCAAATGGTGGCCATGCACGCGACGAATGTGGCCACCTGCATTTGCCAGCTCGACTTGGTCATCTGGCAAGATGCAAGCGAGTGAATACTCGGATGGCCAAGGCGGGGGCGGGACCAGCTCGTAGTGGTCTCCGGTGCTCTTTCGAGCAGGCTTAGCTGCCTGCAGTTTCGGCCGCCACTCCTCCTTGAGCTGTTCTTTTGATGACGGAGTGGTCCGGAGTGGCGGCGAAGGTGTGGGAGGCGGGTCCTGCAAAATAGACAGCACAGAAGGATACACGACAGACTCGTGCTCCTTGTGAGATACAGCATGCAGAGGTAACGAAGCAGGTATAGTGTTAGCAACTGGAAACGTTATTCGCTCCTCGCCATCCCTCAAAACTAGGGTCCCATCAATGCACATCTATGAGAGCCTTGGCGGTGGCCAGGAAAGGCCTTCCCAGTATAAGGGGCACTTCTGTGTCCTCATTGATGTCCAGGACAACAAAATCCACAGGATACTTGAACTTGCCAACCTTAACCAGAAGGTCTTCCACTATGCCCCTAGGATGCACTACAGATCTGTCAGCTAATTGGAGGGTCATCCTAGTAGCACGGGGTTCACCTAGGCCTAGTTTCTTGAACAATTGATATGGCATAACATTGATACTAGCACCTAAATCCGCCAAGGACTTCTCTACATGCAACTTATCAATAGAGCAAGGGATAGTAAAACTACCTGGGTCCTTCTTCTTCTGCGGAAGCTTGTTCTGCAGAATAGCCGAGCACTCCTCGCTGAGCTCCACAGTGGCCAGCTCACTCAGCTTCTGCTTCTTTGAGAGAAGCTCTTTCAGAAACTTCGCATACTTCGGCATTTGCGATAGTGCCTCCAGGAAGGGCACTTGGACATTCAGTTTCTTAAGCATGGCCATGAAGTTTTCGAACTCTGCCTCCAGCCTGTCTTTGTGCAACCGCGTAGGGAAGGGAAGTTTCGGGATGTACTCCTTCACTACCGGTTGCGACTTAGGTGCAGGTACCTCAATCTCCTTTTCTGCCTCTTGTTCAACTGCTGGAGACGCTAAGACAGGGCTCTCTCTCTCTCTCCGGTTCCCGAGCAGGGGGATCAACAGTCATCTTGCCATTCCTGGTCATGATGGCATTGCAGTGCTCATTCGGGGGCGGCGGATGAGGGATGGTCTGCCCGGGTAGGGTACCAGGAGTCCTTCGAGCCACTGCCTGAGCCACACTCTCCAGCTGGGTCTGGATATCCTGCAAGACAGCCTGTGTGTTCCTCTGGCTAGCTTCAAGAGCCAGGAATTTACCCGAGGCCTTTTCCATGAACTGCTCGATAGTGTTGAACTTCTGAGCACTAGAACTGGCGAGAGAACCCACCAAGTCCCGCAATTCAGCCATCTGATCATTCTGCACTGGGGCAGCAGGGGCTGTACCTGGCTGCTGGAAAGGTCGTGGCTGTGATTGAGCAGCATGCCCCTGCATGGGCTGATAAAGAGACTGTTGTGGGCTGCTGGAATTGCCCCTGTCTGGGCTGATATGGTGGCCTCTGGAAGCCCGGCGGTCCCTGAGGAACTAGTGGTCTGGAATTTGCCCCACCCTAGGAGAAGTTAGGATGCTGGCGCCACCCCTCATTGTACGTGTTGCTGTAGGGGTCATTTCGCCTGACGCTATTAATGAAGTTCACCTGCTCCTGGGGTGTGGTTGATTCCTTCATTGCCTGGCAGTCTTCCACCGTGTGATGGGTGCTCTCGCACCAGTGGCAGAGCATCGCCTGCTGCTGTCCGGTCCCTGGAATCATCCCGGAACGATGGATAGCTGAAACCAGCTTCGATACTACCTGCACCAAATCAGAGGGATGGGCTCCCACAGAATGTACACCTCGGCTTGGTGCTCTCCTCGATCTCCTGGCAGTGCCCCAATCATAACCATTCTCCGCCATCTCCTCAAAGAGTTGATTCAGCTGTGGCGGGGTTTTGGTCAGCATGTTCCCGCCACAAACCGAATCGATCAGCTGCTTGTCCTCCGGGAAGAGGGCGTGATAGAAGGTGCCCACCTTGAAGGCATCATTGAAGCCATGATTTGGACACCTCAGAAAGAGACTGTTGTATCTCTCCCAAGCATCCCTGATGGTCTCATCCTCATCCTGAGCAAAATGTGTAATTTGCTTCTGCAGGTCAGCTGTCTTGGATGGAGGATGGTAGCGGGTGAGGAACTTGTCCACCAGGTTGGCGAACGTGGTGATGGAGCCCGGAGGTCGAGTGTCTAGCCACTCCTTGGCTTGCCCCTCCAGAGTAAACGGAAAGTACCTAAGCTGGATGGCCACTGAACCGCGCAGCATAGTAATGACTGAGGTGCTCACCTCAAAGTTGTTGGCTGGGACATGAGGGTGTTGAATGGGTGACCTCATGTCCGCAGCCCTAGCGGTCCAGTAGGATCCCATGGTCTGCTCATCTGGGTTGATCACATCGTGGTTCTGCGGATCACCCATCTCTCCTTCTTCTTCTTCTTCGATCTGCAGCTGTGATAGCGCCTTCTCCGCAGCCAATCGCGCCCTTAGAGCCCGCTTGGAGTTCCTGCAGGTTCGTTCAAGCTCCTGGTCTAATGGTAGTAGTTCTCCCGACTGGCTACGGGTCATGCACTACCTGCACACACTCGGCAGAAGCAACCCGTGAAGGCACACAGGTGGAAGAAATAAAATGCAGTAAATAAAAAGCTAGAGTAACAAATTCTCACGTTTCCCCAATAACCTAGAGGGTCCCCGGCAACGGCGCCAAAAACTTGACACGCCAAAACACAACACCAAACTGCGACCAAGTGAAATCACAGTCCGGGAATACAGTAACAGGCAAGTTATATTATCAACCCGGGGTCTAGATCTACTGCTTACTCCGTGATTCTCTATTATCTAGCAAACTAGTTCGAGTGATTGTTGTTAAAAGCAAAAGCAGTAAGAAAGCAGTAAATTGTTCGGTTTTCAAAGTCAGGAAAGAGTCACTCGGGATTGAGTCCCCCTAGCCCCTTGATTAGGTCCAATGGTAATTCCCTGGGTTGATTCACTGTTGATTAGACTGCGGAAGTCCCGACGGTAGCTTGGAATCTCTTAAGCTGACCAAGCCCTCTCAGTCTAACTACCCGGCAGACGACTAGTCTTCACCGGGATAGAAAGCTGAGGCTATGAACACAGAACTCCACTATTGGAATTGAACTCCAGTACAAAGCAGTAAACTGGCTAACTCTCGTATAGCCAACCTCCTACTATCGAATGAAAAGGCTCTAACAACCTAATCAGATTCTATCTATCTCAGGTTGCAGCAAAAATCGAGAAAAGCTGATCAGACTCCAATCAATTCAATAAACATGCATCATTCGATTAAAATCAAACAGTAATATCATCCCAAGTCATTACAATCAAATCCCTGACACAAGGAACTAGGGTTCTTCATACCCAAGTGAGAGAAGGGTTCTACTCCATAGAGAGAGAAGAGAAAATAGTAATCGGAGTAGTCATACTCATAATGATGAGGAAAATCTGCTCCGGGATGATGATTTCCACTCCTATGACGATCTCCAAGCTCGATTCGATGAAACCCAGCTCCAAGATAGCTTCTAGGATGTGTTCTTCGTACTTTCTCTCTCTAGGGCTCTGTTTTTGCTTTGAAAATCCGATTCTCCCACTTTTGGCTCGGAATTGGCTCAAAAACCAGAATTTCCCGACTCACACGGGCAGGCCACACGGCCGTGTGGCTCACCACTTTGCTCGTGCGAGTCGAAACGCGGCGTATCATTAAGTTCGAACTTCAGCCTTCTCACACGGCATGGGTTGCACGGCCGTGTGAGAAATCCAGTATGCCCGTGTTCGGCCTCGGCAAATATCACACGGCCACAATTGCACTTTGCACGGCCGTATGAATTTCATGGGTTGCCCGTGTGTGGCCTCGGCAAAAATCACACGACCATCTTGCTTACTTGCACGGCCGTGCGATGCCCCGGTCTGCCCGTGCGACTTCCTTGACACCTCGCCAAGCGTCCGATCTTCGTCCAATCGACCCCAGACTCGCTCCCAAGCCTCCATTCACGTACTAGGACCTGAATTATCACAAACAAGCACAACCTAGCGTGAAATCGACCTAAAACACGAGAATCAACAACCTCAAACGTGTAAGAACGGGGGTAAAAACATGTGTAAATAACGGTCTATCACTTGGCCAAGGAACTTAGTGGTCACAAGGATCAGGTAGTGTTCTTGCGCTTTGGTGATTTTTTTTGTGTTTTTCATTGTTTTTACTTGGCATAGAGTTCTTGCTAATTGGTAGTTTAGCCAAACATTTAAGTCTGTCTCATAGGAAAGAAAACCAGTTTTTTTATAATGGGAAAGAAAACCAGTTTGATAGGCGATCTTTGATGTTAGCCTGCAATTGTTTATTTTTCCTGAACTTGAACTCTTCTTTTTCTCTGTCCAGCCATTCTTCTCAGCTAATGCTATTGCTCTTACTTGGAGAAAATCCTCTCCAAGGGTCACAAATCACTCTGTTCAGATTGCTGTGAGTGAACTGTTCTTTTGGTAGAAATGACCAGTCCAGGTATGACAGTTGCTGAAGCAACAAAGCATCAAAATCTTTGGTTCCAGATCTTTTTGTGGAGAATTTTGATGTGTTACCCTCTCATTTTGTTAGCATGAGACGTTCTTCCAAATCAAACTTGCCATCAAGGATGAGGTTGAGTATCTTGAGAAGGCTGGAATAAACGTCATCCAGATTGACGAGGCTGCTTTGGGGAGGGTTGCCTCTAAGGAAGTTGGAGCATGCTTTCTATATGGATTGGGCTGTCCACTCCTTCAGGATTACCAACTGTGGTGTCCAAGATACTACCCAGGTTAGCATCACTTTCCTGTTCCCTTGTTCCGGGAAACTATTCCAAGTTTTGTGGCTTTGATTTTAGTTTTTGCATTATGGCTGCTGGAATTAACTAAAAGAGTGAACTTTTGATGTTGGCTCGCAGATCCATACCCACATGCGCTACTCAAATTTCAATGATGTCATTCACTCAATCGTTAGCATGGATGCTGGTGTGCACAATATTCACTCGCCTAGTATCCCTTCCACGGAAGAAATTATCCTATAACGAATTACATATGTTCACATGTTCTTTCGTCTTATGATCTTCACTTCATTGATGAACAGATCCCCAGAGTTTCTAGATTGTACATGGGTTCTCTTAACTGCAACTTGGGGGTCTTGGTGGAGTTGTCAAAATAGAACGGGCGATATAGTAGTGTGGCCCGGGCAACGCTGCAAGGTTTATCTTTCTGGTGGAGACTTCTTGTATTGGCGAGGAAATTGGAAAACGACGGAAGTCCAATATTTGTTTGATTCGCTATACACAAAAGCTCAATCTCTGACTTCGAACTCCACTCCCTCTCCTAATTTTGCAATTTGGCCCGTGATTCGCTTTCCTTTCCATTTGGGCTGACCAGCCCATTACTCATTATTTAAGGGCCCATGGATCTGGCTCCACTTCTTTCTGGGCCTGGGATCCATAATATCAAGATAGGATAGCTATTTCTATAAAGGGTTATAGGTATAATATGCCCCTTTGTATTTTTCTCAAACATGCCTTTCTACTTTGAATCACATCAACCATACCCCTTTACTATCAACAAATTCTCAAACATACCCTTCCGTTAGTTTTTCCTTCCAAAACGTTAAATCCGGTCCAACCAAATTCTACCCAGCAAATAAGAAGCCAAAGGCATTTCTACCCTAATTTGTTTTTAGCCTATCGCCCTTCCCCACATCCACCCACCAAATTAACCTTGTCGAATAAAAAAAAATCTCTTCACTATCCTCCCTCGTTCTAGATCCCAACTCCTCCATCCACTCTTACCCAAATGATTCCTACGTTAATCGACTTAGCTACATGGTCCATGAAACCGTACCGAGACCGTACCGGAAAAGTCAGCGTTAGGGTATTTTATGGTAAAATCGTGGTTTAGTCGTAGTTCAAACCGTTATACCGTTAAATACCGCCTACCGGTTTAGCCTCCGATACTGGTATTTCGTGGTTGAAACGTCTGTACGGTACGATTTCATGGACACTGCTTAGCTACTGCTCTAACCCCGTCCATTGTATAATTCCCTTTCCAAATCCGAACCCTAAAAAGTTCATCTCGCCCCGCATGTATCGGGTAGCCGTGTTCTTTGGTTGAGGCCGCGACTAGACTCGATCGTGATTGGGGAAATTGGATGGAGCCATAGGAATGATTCAATTTGATAATTGCCCGGCAGCGGCAGGAAGAATAGATGGTGGCGTTGACTGGTCGGTCGACGTTTTGAATATGCAGAAGTGGGGGATATTATTACGGCAAGGATATGGGTTTGCGACGTCGATGGTGGAAGCAGATGGGTGTTGAAACATTGTTTAATTGCTGGGAAAGTTAGTTAATCATGTGTCTATTACAGCGGATGATTCGACAATAAGTGAAAAATCAAGGGGAAAGAAAAGAACAAAGGGAATCACGAATCAGGAAATGAAAGGACAATGGGATAAATAAATAGAAGGGTAAAATGTAATTTTTCTTCTATTTTGCTGGGTAGATTTTGGTAGGACCGGATTTAACGGTTGTCGGATGGAAAAATTAACGGAAGGGTATGTTTGAGAATTTGTTGATAGTAAAGGGGTATGTTTGATGTGATTCAAAGTAGAAGGGCATATTTAAGAAAAATGTATAATAGAGGGGCATATTATACCTATTAACGGTCATTGGAGCTCCGCCTCCGTTGCACACCCTAAGGACGGTCCTCGCGAGGGTTTGGCGATTTGAAGGGGATCTGTCGATTTCTCAATTGGAGGGCGGGCTGCTGCAGTTCGTCTTCTCCCTTCAATCGTACTTGCAGGCGGCGGTTTCTGCTGGGCCATGGATCTTCGACAAATATATGCTGACCCTTCAGCCCTGGTCTGCGCCATCGGAGGAAGTGATTGAAAACCTTCGGCGGGCTCCCCTTGCAGTCCAGATTTGGGGGGTTCCTTTCGACTGTTTCACCAACAAAATGGCTCTCCGTTTGGGTTCAGCATTGGGGGAAACCTCCACCCCTACTCTTCACCGGTCTGATGTCTCGGGTGGGTTATACTTCAGGGCAGAGCCTGTGCTTACTCTGTTGGAGCCCCTGCTGGACGCGATCTCCACCGGGCATATTGACCCACAGAAAGCTCATCAAACAGGGTCCTCTACCTCATACGCGATTCCAGTTTGACTGCCGATGGATCACCAACCCAGAAGTCTTGGATGTGATCAAAGCCGCATGGATGAAACATGTTCGGGGCACCACTCAGTATAAGGCCTACACCTTACTTAAACTGGTAAGGCGTGACTTGGTTGAGTGGGCGCGCTTAGGGACATCCAATTCAGCCAGGAAAATAAGAGAGCTTAAGGATGCGTTTGAGGAGGCCAGAGGGGAGGTTACCGTAGATTGCACCTTGATTCAGAACCTCGAGAGAGAGTTGGCATCAGCGTATGTTCAAGAGGAACTCTTCTGGAGACAGAAATCTCGGGTTGGGTGGCTGAGAGAGGGGGATTCCAACACGAATTTGTTTCATCGAGCAGTGCTGCAACGAAGACGTTTCAACCGTCTGTCTGGGCTAAAAGACTCAACGGGGGTGATCCACTATGATGAGGAGGCTATGGGGAGTATTGTAGTACCATATTTCAGGTGTTATTTACCTCTTCGAATGTGGATTCTGCTCAATTTGTTGCGGATTTAGGACTGCAGCAGAAGGTTACGAGCCAAATGAACGGTATGCTGGTTCTCCAGTGACTGATTTGGAGATCAAGGAAGCAGTGTTTCGTATTGGGGCGTCTCAAGCCCCGAGTTCTGATGGCTTCACCGCCGGGTTCTTCCACGCTCATTGGGATATTGTTGGACCCGACATAAGTGTCGCGGTGCATAACTTCTTCCGGACTGGTAGGCTGCTACACAATTTCAATCATACCCTGATTTCTCTGCTGCCAAAGGTACCTAATGCTGATTCGATGCGGCAACTTCGTCTGATTGGTTTATGTCAGGTTTTTTATAAAATTCTGGCTAAGATAATGGCGGCTAGACTAGGGCTTATTCTTCCTAACATAGTTAGTTCCTCTCAAAACGACTTTTTTAGAGGTAGGTTGATTTCTGACAATATTTTAATCGGGCAAGAAGTTATGCAATTCTTGAAAACTAAAGTGCATGGACGTGAGAAGTGGATGGCTTTGAAACTGGATATGGAGAAGGCATACGACCGCGTCGAGTGGCCTTTCCTTTTATAGATCATGGACAACTTGGGCTTTTGCTCGGAGTGGCTGCATTGGGTCAAGACTTGCATCTCTACCGTTAGCTTCTCAGTCCTGATCAATGGGTGATCTCATGGGTACTTCAAACCTCAACGTGGTCTCCGCCAAGGTGATCCGTTATCCCCCCTTCTCTATGCATTATATACTGAAGCCTTGTATGCTAAACTAGCCGCTGAGATCAATGTTGCTCGGCTTCATGGTCTTCGTGTTCATCGGCATGCTCCCCTAACGTCCCATCTTTTGTTTGCGGATGATACTTACCTCTTCTTGCGTGCGTCTATTCCGGAGTGTACCTCCCTGTTATCCCTTCTGCACTCATTAGAGGAAGTTAGTGGTCAGAAAGTTAATTTACCTAAATCCTCTTTGTGTGTGAGTGCTAATGTGAGTGATCAGGAGAGGTCTGCTCTTTGTGCTTGCTTAGGTATTGCAGAATCTACCCTTCAGGAAAAATACTTGGGCTTACCTGTTCACATTCAGCATTCTAAAACTCAGACGTTTCGGTTCGTAGAGGAGGGCCTTGCTGCTAGGATTCGATCTTGGAAATCCAAAGCCATGTCTTTAGCCGCGAAAGAAGTAGTGATTAAGTCTATAGGCTCTGCTTCCTTGATCTATACTATGTCTGTGTTTCGTCTTCCCTCTTTCACTTGTCGCAGGTTGAATGGGAAGCTATCCTGGTTCTGGTGGGCGGATCAGGATAAAGAAGATGGTATACACTGGCTCTCGTGGCAAGAAGTTTGTTACAGCAAATTTGAGGGGGGTCTCGGGTTTCGAGACTTTGAGAGGTTTAACATTGCTCTCTTGGTGAAGCAAGCCTGGAGAGTGCTGCAGAACACGGCTTCCACATTAGCACACCTGTATCGAGCTCGTTATCACCCAAATTCACCCTTCCTGGAGGCAAAGGTGGGTTCTAGACCCTCTTGGGCTTGGCAAGGGTTATTAGCTGGTCGGGATCTCCTCTTACGAGGGCTTCGGTGGCGGGTTGGTGACGGCGCTCGCATCCGCATTTTAACAGATAAGTGGCTTCCTTCTGACCCTCCCTCCTCTCCTACTCTTCTCTCTGGTATTAGTTTGTGCCCCCATCTTATTGCTGATCTGATCTGTCCGGAGTCTCGATCTTGGAATCGGGCTTTGCTAGTTTCACTGTTCACCAGCGAGTCTGTCGATTTGATACTCTCCATCCCGCTCTTCTTTCGGCTACTGCCGGACTGTTTGATTTGACATTATGCGGCGAATGGCGAGTACTCGGTTAAGTCGGGGTACCATGTTCTGTCCAATGAACTGAAAATTGCTCATCCTCCATCTCCTCTTCCTTTTGACAGCAGGTTTTGGAAGCTACTTTGGAGTCTCCCACTGCCGCCCAAATTAAAAATTTTCTGCTGGAGGATGGTGCGCGGCTTCCTCCCAGTTCGCGATGTACTCCTGTACAAAAGACTGGTTACGGATGCAACCTGCCCGGTTTGCTCACATGGCTCAGAATCTATTATGCACTCTTTCTTCTCTTGCAGAGTTGCTATGGAATTATGAGAATTGGCTGGTTTGGGACACTTACACAGGATCCTAGAAGGACTCTCACATGCAGATTGTTGGAACCATTTATTCTTTTCCTGCCATCTTACTAAAGTTAACATTGCAGATATAATCTTCATTTGTTGGCGAGTTTGGAAGGCAAGATGTTGGTCCATTCATAAACATATACAGTGTCGGGGGTGTGCTCTTCTTCGTCAGTACAGGGCTCAGGTAGATGAATGGATACACGCCACAGATCCTATGACATTACATCAAGAGCCATCGAGGTCGGGCGCTCCTTCGGCCCTCCGTCAAAACGCAGCCATCTGCTTCCGCCCTCGATGGTGTATGTCCTTCTGGTGGAGTGCTTGTTCGATTTGATGGGTCTTGGAAAAAAGGAGTAGTCGGTGGAATCGGCTTTACCGGGTTCTCTCCTGCAGGTGAACTCCTCTTCGCAATGGGCAAGTATTACTCAGGATGTCGCGCATGGTGCTGAAGGAGCTCTTCTCGAGGAAATCTGCTTTGCTATTGCTGGTTTCTCTTGTTTTTCTTGTACTTTTACACCTAGGTTGTACAATAGGGTTGCCCACTTAGTGGCTACTAATGCCCTCTCATCGGCAGTTCCGCTAGCGACCGACTGCCGCGTCTGGCTTTTAAGTATCTTGTAATATCTAATTTTACCCTATATATGCAAAAAAAAAAAAAAAACCTTGGTTAATGCTTCATATAAAACCATTTGCACTTATGGGCCACAGAGTAGCTTGGCAGCTGTATCCATCGTCTTTCGCCCTCGCAAAAATCTGGGAAACCAGACTGACTGACTGAGTGCCGATAGATCTTCCCAGCTTGTGCCGGCGACTTAATAGCTAACACACCCAATCCTGAAATCGCTGAATCTCATTTCCCCGAAGTTGCTTGCAGTCACCTATGTCGTCTCCTTCAATGTTCAGCAACAACAGCGTTTCCATTCCAGTCTCCGACGACGACGAAGACGAGCTCAGCCGGAAGCGAGTCCGAGTTCGCAGGAAGCGCAAGAAGCCGCTGAGCCACCGCGTGAAGCACGATTTGGGCAAGCGGCTCGTTAGGTTTCTCGTGAGGTACTGGGCGTTGCTCATCTTCCTCCCCGCCGCCGCTCTGCTCTGCTACGAGGCCACCAAAATCGGCAAGGAACCCGCCGTCGACGAGGATGATCTCGACCGCTTCGTGGCAGAGGGAACAGAGGTAGATCCTGACCTCGACCCAGTCTTCAAACCGCCGCCCAAGGTTTCTCACCCCAATTTGAATCGGATGGATCCGGTTACTCGAATGATTGACGGTGTGCGTGAACGTAAGTGTTTTTCATCTGAGCTCTTCTTGTTGCTTTCCAGTTTCCAGTTTCTCAATTGCATCTCTGGAAATCTGTATCAGCTTGCTTGAAGCTCCGGCCGTCGGACGAACTTGAACTTCTGGATATCCCTAACGGCGGCGGCATTGAAAGTCCGGTTAAGAGTGTAAAATACTTGACAGAGAGAGATTTGCCGGAACAGAACGGGACTCATAGGTCGAAACGGTTCAAGTTCAATTCGTTTAGTGGATACCCGAGTCTCGAAGACAGGGATGGAAGCTTTGTGGTGAACCAGACTCCTGCTGTACATTGTGGGTTCTTCAGTGAAAGTGGAGGGTTCAATATATCTGACGCTGATAAGAGTTATATGGATAGTTGCCAAGTGGTGGTTTCTACTTGTGCTTTTGGTGGTGGGGATGATCTATACCAACCCATCGGAATGTCAAATGCTTCACTTCAGAAGGTCTGTGATGCTTCTTTAGATTGCTTGAACTTCGTGTCTGCACTACAAAAGGGAAGCTTTTAGCGAGCTCATTGGTTTGCATTTGTGCAGGTTTGCTATGTTGCATTTTGGGATGATATTACACTGGCTGCCCAGGAGAATGCCGGGCACACTATTGGGGATGATAAGTTTATTGGGAATTGGCGCATTGTTCTTGTGGATGATCTTCCATTTGTGGATCAACGATTAAATGGTAAAATTCCAAAGGTATTGTAACTCTTTTACAGTGCTATGTTGCGCTTATAGTCTGTGTGATGGTTAGGTTTATACTTCTGTTTACTTCTAGTTTCTCTCGGAAGATCGGTTTCTAGCTCAGATATTGGAAAGTGTAAATGCCATAGTTTAACGGTTAAATCCCCCTTCCTTTCTGGTTTCATTTTCTTTGTATTGTGAGCTAAGCACATTTAGAAGTACTCTGATGAGGAAGATCTGAGAATAGAAATACCATAGTTATAGGCAGAGAAGCTGGTTGTCGATGTGAACCGGGAATGAAGTGGATGTCATTTTGTGGACTAAAATGGGTTTATCCAGGAGTAATAGGAAGGATTGGGGTCAAGTAGGTGGTGATAGTGATGACTGTAGCACATAGATGTTGTAATGCTTGTGGTATTTATCCTGATTGCTGATTATGAGCCCAGTTCTTTAGATGAGAGTTATACATTTGAGAACTTTCTCAATTCAAATGTAAGTTGGAGGGTGGGGATTGATTTCCGACTTATTTGGAATGGAGTTTATCTTATCAAAAGGCAGTTCAGTGGTTCTTGTTTGTGGATAGTGCTTACTTTGGATTGTTTTAGTGTTTGTTCATGCAAAATTCAGTGAGTTGAAGTTTGTAACCAACTTTTAATTAATTTTTACCCATTTTCAGATGTTGGGACATCGGCTCTTTCCTAATGCAAAGTACTCTATATGGGTGGACTCAAAGTCTCAGTTCAGGAGGGATCCGTTGGGTGTTCTCGAAGCTCTCCTCTGGCGTACAAATTCCGTGTTAGCAATCTCAGAACATGGAGCTCGCAGCAGCGTGTATGATGAGGCTAAAGCTGTTGTCAAGAAAAACAAAGCCAGACCAGAAGAAGTCGATGTCCAAATAACTCAGTACAAGAAAGATGGTATGCCCGAAGACAAGAGATTGAATGGAAAGAAAGGTATGCAATCCTTTGTCAACACACTGCCATTTGCTTCCGTGAATTCAATTGAATAGCAGAAGGAATTGTTCGACATGTCCGCGTAGCTAAGGCAATGTAACCACGATTAGATTGTCGTTTAGGAGCTGAAATGAGGGCTCCCTTCACGATCCAGTCTTCCTTTCTGCGATTTTGAAACATGAACTATGTCTGTAATAACAAGTAACATTTGGTCATTTGCAGCTCTGAATGAAGCTTCAATCATAGTGAGGGAGCACACGCCAGTGGTCAATCTGTTCATGTGCATCTGGTTCAATGAAGCAGTGCGATTCACTTCGCGAGACCAGCTGAGCTTTCCCTACGTGCTGTGGCGACTGAAAGTGCTTAAAGACACCAACATGTTCCCAGTTTGCATACGGAAAGATCTTGTTAATAGTATTGGCCATCTACGCAAGGCCAAGCCTTCGGTAAAAAGAGCCATGCCTTCCACTGCTGATGACGAGGCTTGATTTTGTTATGGGCCTCTAATTCTTCTTTTTTCTTGTTGTTGTTCAAATTTTGTTACCTATTTATACCTGAGATTATTACGAGATTAGCCCCTGATTCTTTCATCACTGTTAACCATGTATTGACATTGACATAGTTTATTCCCCTTCGGAGCATTCCTCGGTTCTTGGTCATGGTAATATGAAGTTGGGTCTTTACCGATCAATAATGTACCATTGATGACGATGACACATAGCGCTGAGTAGGCTTGTTCATGAACGACTCGACGTCCGATAAAAAAAAACTCGTTTGAAACTCGATCGTCTTAATCGAGTCAGCTTGCGAACAAGTTCGTTAATTAAAACGAGACGAACTTGAACCATGCCATGTTCAGCTCGAAAGCTCGTGAACAAGCTCTTTTAACGGTTTGGCATTAGAAAGGATTGGAGTTCATAGATTTTATGTATTGAAATTGAGATAAATATTGTGTTTTGTTTTGCTAGACTCTGTTTCAGGTTTGAATGTAATTTTGTGCTCAGTTCTAGCTCAATCTTGAGCTATAATGGATATTTTATGTGTTGAACTCGATTTTGGACTCGTTAAACTTATTTGGCGAGCCAAACTCGAGTCGAGCTCGAGTTTTCATTTTTCATAAACGAGTCGAGCTCGAGCTTGTATATTAAAGCTCGTGATGAACTCGAGTCGGGGTCGAGCCTGGAAATATATTAACGAGCCGAGCCTGAGCCGAGCCCGAGCTATGACAAAGTTTGGTTCGGCTCGGCTCATTAACAGGGGCTAAGATTAGGTGACTAAGGGAGGGTCGCTTAGTCACATGACTAAGTGAATCTCAGCCATCCAACCTCATTTAAATCTGATGGTTCCAATTAATTTGATTTAATGAAGGGTAATGTAGTAATTGCATTATTATTTATTTTATTATTATTTTTTATTTTATTAATTAAAAAGAATTCACCGCCTCCGTCCCTTCCCCGTCGTTTACAAAACTCCCGACGTCCCGTCGACTTCCTCACCTCATGTCCCTTCCTCGTCGGCACCAGTTCCCGATGTCTCTTCCCTTCCGCCGGCTAGGGATTCCTAGCGGGGCAAAAACCTTCTCGGGGAACTATCCTGGCGGGGTTTTTAGGATTTTTTTAGAGAGAGAGAGAGCATGTTCGTCGACTGTGGATTTTCGGCGACCAGAGACGTCGGAGACGGATTTTCCGGTGCCAGTGTTGGATTCGTAATCTTTGCCGACCTATTTTGTAATGTATATCAATTCAGTTTGTATTGTTTATCATTCTAGTTTGTTATTTTTGTCTTGTGTTTGGAATGTTTACATGAGTAATTTGTAATATTTTGATTTATAATATTTGTTGCTCTAGTTTGTATACTTTATGTTATGATTTGTATATGTTGTATTCATTATTTTGTAATGCAATTTTACCGATTTGTATTGTAAGTAGTGTTATTTTGTAATGTTAGTATGCTTTGTAATGTTTGGCAGTTTATTCTGTAATGTTTGTAAGGTTTGTTAATTTTGTAATGTTTGTTGGTTTCTTTGGTAATGTGTAAGTTTTGTTATTTTTATGCACCATGTTTGTCATTTTTGTCAACCATGTTTGTAATGTTTTTTATGTCTAAAAAACAACCTGATTGACTTTTGAACGAAACTCATATATATAGAGAAGGAGCCCCCAAAGTCAACCCTGTTGTTTATCATTTTGTATGGTTTGTCAGTTTAGTTTGTAATTTTTGTCCACCATGTTTGTGATGTTTGTATATCTAAAAAACAACCGGGTCGACTTTGGGACGGTGCCCCTCTATATAGAGATGAAGCCTCTAAAGTCAACCTGTTTTTTCCCCATTTTTTATGATTTGTATTGTTTGTCTGTCTACTTTGTATTATTTGTATAGTTCATATGTTTTTTATTGTTTGTAAATCTGTTTGTATGTTTTGTCGTTCTAGTTTGTACTGTTTGTATATTTTGTCGTTCTAGTTTGTACGATTGTATGGTTTGTACTGTTTGTATACTTCGTAATTTTCATAATACCCAAACTAATTCTGTCATTAATTTAAAAGCCTTCCCACTTTTCAATCGTCAGATTGGAGTGTGCAGATCTAAAGATTGGAAGGACTTGACTAAGCATCCCTAGTCACTTGATCCTCCCTCCATTAACAGCCCTAGTGCTAAGTAATGTAATTGGGCAGGACGCTAAAACAAATTTTCAAAATACAGAGTTATATGTGACAGATCCCATGAGATCTTAGTAAAAATAGAAAAGAGAAGATGGAGATTAGAGATGAGTGTAGGGCTGAAAAACGGTCCAATCCGGTTAAAATTGGATCGGATTAACCTGGTTTTTTGAAACCGTTTTAGCTATACTAGCAACCGGAAATTGGATTGGATGGGCATCCGGTTTCAACCATGACCGGACTAGATTGAATTCGGTCCGATCCGGTTTCAACCAAAAAACCCGGAAATTGTCTCTAACTCCCAAAATGCTAGCGTTTATCATTAATTGAAAAAAAATTGGACAAGTCTGGTCCCGAGTCCCAACTCACAAATACAATCCTCATTTCTCTTAGATCCCTCTACCTCCTTCTCGATTGAACCACAAGTCCACAATCCACATCTTCTCTCTCTCATCCCCATCTCTTCCGTCTCCTTTCCATCTCCATCTCTCACAACTCTATTTCTTCCCAAATTCCAACTCCCAACCATAGATCGATAAGCCAATCTCGCATCAGAATAGGAAGATGAGATGAAAGACAAAAATGAAGTCGGCGATTGGAGGTATGCAGTATCGGTAGAGGACCCGTATGTTGAGTTCGGTGCCGGAAAGGCAGTGTCGGCACTCGGTGGACAACAAAAGAGAGACGCGACTTGACCCGCGAAGACTGGGCATCGCCATCGCAATCTCCATTGCCATCGCCTTGAGCAGCCCTCGGCCGACCCTATCTCCCACCGTCATTGTTCATCTTATTCTTCCCTCGAGGCTCGATTCACTGCGTCTAATCGATCGTCGGCCAGAGGGAGAGGCCGCCGGAGGGAGAGCAGAGGGCGGGCGGGTTGGCGTTTGTTTCACTAGGAAGAGAGGATCGACGGTTTGTGGGAGACTGGAGATGACCAAAAGAGGAAGGAAGAGGAAGCGGCAGAGTGGCTGTGTATGGGAGGTTGAGGGTTGTTTGATGGCTGGGCTAAAAGTTGAGGGGGATTAGGGTTTTTTTGGGCTGGGCAAAAGGCAGGGCTGACTAGGCAGGTCCAGTTTTTTCGGTTTTAATCGGATTATACCTGGTACGGCTTTTCTTCAGATATCTGCAACCGAAATCCAGATTGGATTGGGTTGCATCCGGTTTCCGGTCAAAACCGGAATGGTTTAAACTGGACGATTTTTGGTTTGACCGGAAAACAGTAACCGAATTTCCAGCTCTAGATGAGTGCACTTTTTTCTTAAACTTTTTTTTAGTAAAAAGATTTCCATGTCACTAGCCACTTAATGACCGGCTATGTTTTTTTGTTAATCCCTACTGGAAACCTTAATGGAAGAGAAGATTTAGTATACAAATGACATATGAAAAACTATGTGATATAATGAGTCTCGTTAAAGGTTGGTATTTGTATTCGTACTAGCCATTGTCAACATTATTTTCATATTCTTTTCTCCCTCAATTTTTTTATAACTCGTCATTCCATATAATTCCTCCCGTTATTTTCCTGCTTTTGTATTAGTTTCAACATTAATACTAAATGAGGTCTAATGAAGTAACTAAACACAAAAAAAATTCGGTGTTGTCGATGTACCTCTTTTATCACAAGGTCACAACAGTTGTGCAATCACAACCAGCTAGTGCAAACGAGCCGAGTTGAGCTGACTTTTGACTTACCTCATGCTCAAATCATTAGAAACTAAGTTGAGCTTGAGCTCAGCTCGTTTAATAAAACCTTGGATCAAAGTCGACTCGAGCTTGGCTCGTTAATTAACTCATGAGCTCGATCTACTCAATCTCAGATCGAGCTCACCTCATTTGTGATACATGTGATTAATATGTCGATAAAAAAAGAATGATATTTCATGACTAATAGATCACAAACTTTTTTCTTCTTCTTAAATTGTAGGCGCTATGGTCAAAGAAAAGAGAAAGGATTACAAGACAAGGGAAGTAAGAAGGGGGAGGTAGAGACAACTATCACATTTTTGGGAAAAGTGACTCCCTTATCATCATCGCTTAGAATCTCCAAAAGACCATAAGGGGAGTTTGACAATTCATACGTATCGTAGGGATCTTCTTAAATTGTAGGCGCTATGGTCAAAGAAAAGAGAAAGGATTACAAGACAAGGGAAGTAAGAAGGGGGAGGTAGAGACAACTATCACATTTTTGGGAAAAGTGACTCCCTTATCATCATCGCTTAGAATCTCCAAAAGACCATAAGGGGAGTTTGACAATTCATACGTATCGTAGGGATAGGCGAGGCTATATTGTGAGAGCCCGTTCGCGACTCTATTTCCCTACCTCTACATATGAGAGAGTTGAACGATCAAATTTTAAGTAAGTTTATGCTAGATTGCCGCAAGAATAGTGGCATACAGATGTATCTGATTCGTCTTGTTGTTCACTAGATCAATGGCCAACTTCGAGTATGATTCCACTATAAACGTTTTGTAACCCTGATTCCATGCCAAATTCATATCATTTAAGATACCCCGAAGCTCTGCCATCGCTATCGAACACGACACAAGGCTTGCACAGAAGCCACCCTACCATCTTTCATCACTGCTTCTTAGGACGCCACACTTTGTGGCCAAACCGGGGGTTACCATTGGAGGCCTGTTAACATTCAACTTTGTCCACCCACTTTGTGGAGGTTTCCATCTGGCATCAATTTGCACTCTCGGGGTAGTAGCCCTATTCTTGAAGATATCAAACCTTCGGGCGACCCAACCATCATGACATAGTTTCACTTTCACCTTGATTGCTTGTGTGAGGGAAGAGGGGGAAAGGGTCTTATGTGTACCTTAAAAAAGACCCCTCATTCTTATTCTTCCAAAGCAGCCAAATGGCAATGCTGAAGAAAGCATTACAGGGGTATTCCTGCAACAGTCACATCTTCTGTCAAGAAATTTGCTTTAAACCATATCTCAGTCGGGGCATTAAAGAAAAAATGTTGCTTTTCTGATTTCACAGCTCGTCCACAAGTAGGCAGAATAGGGGCAATCTCCAAAGATGCGAGGGCTAGACTCCAACTCCATGAGGTCGTGTCACCTGTAGCAGTCTGTCGTTTGAGCCAAGTGATGCTGAAAGCATACTTCGTTGTTGCTGATCTTGCCCAGGGCCGTCAACCAAGCAAAATAACGAACTCTTTTCGTGATAGGAAGGCTCCATATATTCTTCCAAATCGTCTGCTCGTTGTTAGGAGCAGCTGGGGCAGTTAAAGATAGGCGCTTTTAGCGGATGACTGATAATTTCTAACTAGTTCATATCATGTTATTTAGTCATAATTAGTAGCTAAGCAGTTTATAATCAATAATTACCCTTTCATATTATAAATGATACGTATTTGAGCTAATAGTCAAACTCTTTATCCATTATAGATTGTGAAGTATACAATCTGACAAATTTATGAACGATCAACAACTCATATGCTATAGATCGATTCGCTAATATATCACTAGTTGGTACATTATTGGCTCGCTTGCCACACTATGGAGTTAGCTCATGAGGTTAAAATGAGTCAACTCACAAGTTAAGATCAACGAGCCACCAAATTGAGCTGACTCACGAGCTCACTAACTGAACAAGGCTAAACTCGACCTATACTCATTATCAAATAAACCGAGTTTCGAACAAACTTATTACGAGTTAAACACCGATCCACTCCCGAACAAGTTGACTCATTTACCACCCTACAACAAACAACTAACTGTACTAAATCGGCACATCGTTTGTCTCCTTCCAAAATCCCTACCACTAAAAGAAAATCTGATCCGTGGGCTTGACAAACAGCTGGGTTCCCTCTTCTGGTCCTGGGTTTCCGTCAAGTGGCATAGCTACTAGGGGTGGAAATCGGTACGGTATCGGTATCCCAATACCAAATACCGAAATCTCGAATACCGAATTACACCCTAAAATCAATCCCAATCCCAATCCCTAAATAATTTCGGTATCCCAATCCCAATCCCTAAATAATTTCGGTATCACAATCGGTACCTCGGTATCCCAATCGGTATTATCGAATACATAATTACTTACCTTTGTAATTAATAATTAAATATATAAATTAAATTTTATTGTTTAATTTAGGGCGAAGAGACTAAGAAAATAGTCTTGAGTTGCCTAGAGCTAACATCTTAAGTTCTTGTAATTGGTAATCTTTAATTTGACGAATTTGAGGTTGAGAGACGACTAATAATAGTGTGAAATAGTGATATAATGATCTATGTATAATTAAATGACACTTTTGGTGGTTGATGGTCGCGTAGTAGTGAATGTGAGAGTCTAGTTGAGAGGATAAAATACACGCTAACTTATGTATTTAGTATAAACTTGTATTGTATATTTTTTTTTTCTATTTCTATATAACCATCTATTCAATTTATATTCTCGATTTATTTTCTCTCAAATTGGATTTAGTTTCTTGTGTTAAAACTTTGGCTCGGAAACACAAAAGTACTGTACGGATTTTTTTGAAAAGGTTGGGGTCGGAATTGTTGGAAGAATTTTTTACCGACGAAAAACAGATTCTGTCTTTGATTCCAAGAACTTCGTCTATTTCCCAAAGATTATATAAAGGACGGGTTTGGTATTTGGATATTGTTTGTATCAATGAACTGGCCCATGAAAAAAATTTGTTTATCAAACATGTAAATAGAAATTTTCCATAAATGATCAAATGAAGGGGTAACAAAAAAGTTCATTTATTTCGATTATGAAATGTTCAGAAAGTATATCAGCAAGGATTGAGCAACTGAGTATTCAACTTTCTTCTCAGGTACGGGGTTCCGTCTAGGGGAAAACTGAGCTTTCAATAATTCTGCTAGTTGCTTTGATAGGTGCGATTGTTGTGGCTCGTCAGTAGGGAATTTATAGAATTAGCAATCAACCATTTTTTTTTCTAAGTTATTACATTCATTTTCTTTTAATTCTATTTGAAATTTTTTCTGTATAAATTCTTTTAGTAGATCTAGTACGAATATATTTCTTTGCTCTACATTTTCAATATTATTAACCCAATTAGTTGCCTAGTTGCCGTTCAATTTTTGTTCATATTGAAATAAACCGAAATAGATAAGGAGTTGGTGGATAATGCTCGAACATGTACTTGTTTTGAGTGCCTATTTATTTTCTATTGGGATCTATGGATTGGTCACGAGTCGAAATATGGTTAGGGCCCTTATGTGTCTTGAACTTCTATTGAATGCAGTTAATATAAATTTCATAACATTTTCTGATTTTTTTGATAATCGCCAATTAAAAGGAAATATTTTCTCAATTTTTGTTATAGCTATTGCAGCCGCCGAAGCAGCTATTGGACTGGCTAATTGATCGGTATTTCGGTATATACCGATCCCAATCCCGTAATCCCTAATACCGAATAACAATTGAAATTCAATCTCAATCCCAATCCCACAAAATAATACGTATATTCGGTAATACCAAATATAAACAAATTCGGTACGGTATTCGGTATATCCCAAATACCGGTACCAAACTTTCAGCCCTAATAGCCACCATTGTTGAACAATCTTTATTTTATTTTAGTTTCATGAATATAATATAATGGGCCCGATTTACATATGTTTTCTTTTCTTTGAGAAAAAGAAGAAAAACGAGAACAAAATTGGAGAGGTTAAGGAAAACAAATACGCGTTCAATTCACGCCAGCCCACCGCCTCAGACCAAATCCTATCAACAAGACAACAACCGACTTAAGATAACTTAACTAATAATGAAAAAAGGAAAGGAATGATAATCGACGAAATCACAGCCGTCCATCGCCTCGATCACCCGCTTAATCCCAGCCCTCCATCGCCCCAAGCCACAGCTTATAAATAGTTACCGGTTTTCCCCCACTTCATCTTGCATTCGCGTTGCCTGAAAATTGTGCGACCGTGCTCCTCCCCTTTTCCCCACCGCTGCCGGCGATTCCAATGATTAATCTTCTCTCTTCTTCTTCTTTGTCTTTTCTTTTTAACAACTCTCTCCTCTCTTATTTGGAGCCTCCCGATGATTCTGCTTATGATGTGATTATAGGTTGTCATCCTTTGCGTTGGCTTCTCTGATCGTCGGTCTGCCTTAGCCGTCTCTGTTACGTTCTTCAATTTCTTCTCCGGATATGGCTACTGCTTGTTGATATCTACCTGCGTTCTCGATGGTTTGGGTTTGGTCTCCGTTTTTTTGGATGCTGTAGTCGATGACATAAATATCGATTCTGAATTGGAAAGTTCAGCCCTACGGTTGATGTGTTGTTTTTGTTGGATGATTTAGGATCTTGAGGTGACGAGAAACATGCTGCGTTCTTGCGATATTGGCCGTGTTTCCCGATTCATCTTCATCTACAGAGGGCCAGGATTTTCTCCTTCTCAACTTTTCTTCAATTTGATTTGCGACTTGCTTGTCTGATCGTGGCTAGGCGTATCTTGTTCTTGGATCGATGATTCTGCTATCTGGCTTCTCTAACTATCGCTGTGTTCGTTGATCTGGTGCTTTCTAGAGTCGTGGACCCTTGGATTTCCGCCGAGAGCTCGTCTTTTTCCTATAGGCCTTGGAGTCGAAGATCCTGAGTATTTGTATTCAGTAAATTGGATTGCTTGGTTTACTGCTTCGGTTCGGCAGGGGTTGATTTGTTGTTTCTTGTTGCCCGATTTAGGACCTCCAAGTGCGATCGGTGCCAGGATGTGTAGTCATGGATTCCTCCTCCTCTCTCCGTAGAGGCCGTGGTTGTAGATCCCGAGTTTCTGAGTATTTGGATTTTGGTTGTCTGGATTAATCCCTTCTGTTTGCCGGTGGTTGATTCGTTGCGTCTCGTTGAATAACTTAGGACCTGGAAGCACGATCGATTGCTCAATGTGCTGCAGAGGGAGTCATATCCCTCGCGTATTGACATGGCCGCAGTGTGTTCTACCCTTTTGGTATTCGTTGATTGTCAAAACCATATTCTACCGGGGTTGATTTTTGCAGATTGGTATCTGCAGGCTGGAGGCTTGCTCTTCCAGGGTGCAGGAGCCTTGTTCTTCTTTCTCCTTCCCTTCCGTTTGTTTTAAATGAATTTTTTACTGTTCCCTTGGCCATGGCGATGTGATTCCTGTCTTATTCTCACCCTGAACAGATTTTCCCCGACTAATTGATTTAAGGGAGGGGCGACTGTGCCGATAAGTATCTTGTGCCATTCTTCTGCCTAGGGCGGTTAGGGAGTTCATTTCAGTATCTTTTGAATTGGGGTTCAATGGTTCTTTCTAGCTTTTTGGATCTTCAGGAACTGGCTTGTGTTCGTTGGAAGAACTTAGATCTGTATATCTGAACAAGGAGTAGTCTGTTTTATGATAATTCTTCTGGCTTTCCAATGTTTCGTCGTTCTTGGCTTCCTCCTTTGATTTTTTGTTGGTGGCAATTTTGGGTTTTAACTCTCAGGGGGAGAGGACTATGCTGGGCTTGGAGCATCTTTCGCAGATAGGATGCAGTACCGAGTATAATGTCAAGACATGGGTTACCCTTACTTCCTACCTGTTAAGTTTTTTTCGCTGCATTTTCCGTGATGATTTTATTATTCTTCTTCCATCTTCTGCAGAGATGTCAAGATGATTGGTTTGTGACTGAGTGTGCTTTGCTGGGTGATTGGTATCTGTCAATGGTCTTGTGGTTGGGAGGTTTTGTGGACGTTCTGTGTTTCATTATATGTAGTTTTCTCTAGTTTGGGTTGGTGACATGGTGCTCTTTGGGTTTGTCGGTGTTTCTCAGTTGCAGTTGCACAGGACTCGACGGATGCGGAAGGGTTTGGCTTATATGTCTTGGTTCTCTTTTCTTTTTCGGGTTGTTTACTTGTTTCTATAGCTGTTTAATTGAGTTCGTTTTGATATTCTACTACATATGGACTGCTGCAGGGTGTTGATTTGGACTGTTCCTCCCATCATTCTGGGGATGCAGGAACCTTGTCCTCTCTCCATAGAGGCTGTGGTTCAGTGGTGTAGATCCCGAGTATCTGAGTATTTGGATTTTAGTTGTCTGGATTAATCCCTTCTGTTTGGCGGTGGTTGATTCGTTGCTTCTCGTTGAATAACTTAGGAACTGGAAGCACGATCGATTGCTCAATGTGCTGCAGAGGGAGTCATATCCCTCGCGTATTAACATGGTCGCATTCACTGGTGTTCTACCCTTTTGGTATTCGTTGATTGTCAAAACCATATTCTACCGGGGTTGATTTACAGATTGGTATCTGCAGGCTGGAAGCTTGCTCTTCCAGGCTGCAGGAGCCTTCTTCTTCTTTATCCTTCCCTTCCGTTTGTTTTAAATGAATTTTTACTGTTCCCTTAGCAATGTGGATGCGATTCCTGTCTTATTCTCACCCTGAACAGATTTTCGCCGACTAATTGATTTAAGGGAGGGGCTACTGTACCGAGAGTTAATTTCAGTATCTTTTGAATTGGGGTTCAATAGTTCTTTCTGGATTTTTTGATCTTCAGGAACTGGCTTGTGTTCGTTGGAAGAACTTAGATCCGTATATCTGAACAGGGAGTAGTCGGTTATATGATAGTTCTTCTAACTTTCCAATGTTTCGTCGTTCTTGGCTTCCTCCTTTGATTTTTTGTTGGTGGCAATTTTGGGTTGTAACTCTCAGGGGGAGAGGACTATTCTGGGCTTGGAGCATCTTTCGCAGATAGGATGCAGTAACGAGCATAATGCCAATACATGGGTTACCCTTACTTCCTACCTGTTAAGTGTTTTTCGCTGTATTTTCCGCGATGATTTTATTATTCTTCTTCCATCTTCTGCAGAGATGCCAAGATGATTGGTTTGTGACTGAGTGTGCTTTGCTGGGTGATTGGTATCTGTCGATGGTCTTGTGGTTGGGAGGTTTTGTGGACGTTCTGTGTTTCATTATAGGTAGTTTTCTCTTGTTTGGGTTGGTGACATGGTGATCTTTGGGTTTGTCGGTGTTTCTCAGTTGCAGTTGCACAGGACTCAACGAGCGGAAGGGTTTGGCTTATATGTCTTGGTTCTCTTTCTTCTTCGGGTTGTTTACTTGTTTCTATAGCTGTCATGTTTAAGTGAGTTCGTTTTGATATTCTACTACATATGGACTGCTGCAGGGTGTTGATTTGGACTGTTCCTCCCATCATTCTGGGAGTGCAGGAACCTTGTCCTAAGTTTTCTCTTTCCTTCACTTTTAGGTTAGATTTTAGATTTCGATTCCCTTCATGTTGGGCGGTGTCTACTTGACTAATTTTCATTATGAGCAGATGTTTCCCTGGCTAATTGACTTCAGTCTACTTGTCGTTCTTCTGCCTTGGATGATCTTCTCGATTGGAATGGTTATCCCATCTTTCAGACTTTTTGGATCTTCAGGGACTGGCGGGTGTTCGTATGAACTTAGACTCGTATATCTGATCAGGGAGTAGACGGTTATATGATAAATCTTCTGGTTCCCCGCTCAATTGTTGTTGGCTTCCTCCTTTGAGTTTTGTTGTTGGTAACTTTGGGGTTGTTACTCTCAGGGGGAGACTATGGTGGCTTGGAGCATCTTTGGCACAGATAGGTTGCTATAATGTAGAGACATGGATTATCCTTACCCCCTACCTGTTAATTGTTGTTTAACTGCTTTCAGAATTTCCATTGAGCAGTGATTCATCATTCTTCTTCCATCTTCTTTACAGATACATGATTGGTTTGTTACATCATGTACTTCGCCGAGTGAGTAGTATCTGTCAGTGGTCCTGTGGTTGGGTGGTTTTGTGGACAGACTGTGTTCACTTATAGGCAGTTTTTTGTTGTTTGGGTTAGTGACATGGTGCTTTTTTGGTTTGCCAGTGTTTTCTTAGGCTGCAGTGGCGCAGGACGGACCGACTATGTGTCTTAGCATTAATTTTCTGGCTTGTTATCTTGTTTTTATAGCGAGCATGTTTAAGAAAATCCTTTTTGATGTATTACTACATCTGGATTGCTGCAGGGTGTTGATTTTGACTATTCTGCATATAGTTTTGTGGATGCAAGAATATTACATCACTAAGTTCCTCTCTTTCCTTTACTTTTGTGCTAGACATTAGATTTCAATTCCCTTCACCAATGAGACAGTTACTATCTGTGACCAATTTTCATCCTTAGCAGATATTTTCCCGGGCTAACTGACTTCAATGTGCTGCTGGAGCAATGAGTATGCTGTGTCGATCTTGTACCGAGTTATTTCATGATCTTCTGAAGTGGAGTGTGATGTTTCCCCTTTACCGACTATGTGTCTTAGCATTTATTTTCTGGCTTGTTATCTTGTTTTTATAGCGACCATGTTTAAGAAAATCCTTTTTGATGTATTACTAAATCTGGATTGCTGCAGGGTGTTGCTTTGGACTGTTCTGCATATCGTTTTGTGGATGTCAGAATATTACATCACTAAGTTCCTCCCTTTCCTTTACTTTTGTGTTAAGATATTAGATTTCAATTACCTTCACCAATGAGACAGCTACTATCTGTGACCAATTTTCATCCTTAGCAGATATTTTCCCGGGCTAACTGACTTCAGTGTGCTGCTGTAGCAATGAGTATGCTGTGTCGATCTTGTACCGTGTTATTTCATGATCTTCTGAAGTGGAGTGTGATGTTTCCCCTTTTTCTTGCTTTTTGGATCTTCAAGAACTGGCAAGTGTATGTTGGAAGAATCTAGATCTGTATATCGGATCAGGGAGTAGTCGGTTATATGATAAATCTTTTAATTCTTCGATGGTACATTGTGTTCTTGGCTTCCTCCTTTGAATTCGGTTGGTGGTGATTTTGGGGTTTTAACTCTCAGGGGCTATGCTGGCTTGGGGCATCTTTAGCAGATAGGAAGCAAAGCCGAGCATAATGTCAAGATATGGGTTACCTTACCTTCCGACATGTTCAATTGTTTTGCATCGTGTTTTGGAATTTCCGTTGCACAATGATTCATTGTACTTGTCTTCCTCTTATGATTTTTGTGGTGGTAATTTTGGGGTTGCCACTCTCAGGGGGATGTATTATACTGGCTTGGAGTATCTTTAGCAGATAGGATGCTGAACGTAGCATAATATCAAGACATAGATTACCCTTGCCTTCCCCACATGTTAATTGTTTTTCACCGTGTTTCGGAATTGCGCAATGGTTCACTGTTCATCTTCTATCTTTCGCACAGGTGTTGACATGATTGGTTAGTGACGTTATGTGCTTTGCGTTGGTGGTTAGCGTTCGTCTCCATCTGTCAATGTTCTTGTGGTTGGGAGGTTTTGTGGACAGTCTGTTTCATTTTAGGTAGTTTTTTGTTGTTTGGGTTTGCGACATGGTGCTATTTGGGCTTGCTAGTGTTTTTCAGGGTGCTGTGGCCCAGGATGGAACAGATGGGGGAGGGTTTCGCTTTTATGTCTTAGCTGTCTCTTCTTTTCGGGTTGATTTCTTACTTTTATAGGTGCCTTATTTAAGTAAGTTTTGATGTACTACAACATCTGGATTGCTGCAGAGTTTTGGTGTACTACAACATCTGGATTGCTGCAGGTTGTTAGCTTTGGATTGTTATGCGTATCATCCTGTGGATGCGGGAACCTTATCTTAGTAGGTTCTCTTCCCTTCACTTCTTCGCTACTTTCTAAATTTCAATTCGCTTCACTAGAGGGTGACTATTTGTGGCTACTTATAATCTTGAGCAGATGTTTTCTCTGGCTAATTGACTTCAGGGGGTTGTTATTAACAAGTGTTTGTTGGAAGAACTTAGATCTGTATCGAAGTGTATTGTTATTTCGGGGTCTTCTGAATCGAAGTGTATTGTTATCCCGTCTTCCTTACTTTTTGGATCTTTAGGAAACTAACAAGTGTTTGTTGGAAGAACTTAGATCTGTATATGTTATCAGGAGTAGTCGGTTATATGATAGGTTGACTTTCCTACTTATTAATTGTTTTTTGCTGTGTTTTTTCGGAATTTAGATTGCACAATGCTTCCTGGTTCTTGCTTCCTCCAATAATATTTGTTGGTAATTTTGGGGTTACAACTCAGGGGGAGATCTATGCTTGGCTTGGACCACCTTTAGCAGGTAGGATTCTAAACGGAGCATAATATCAAGACATGGGTTACCCTTACCTTCCTAGTTGTTAATTGTTTTTTTTTTTCAGTGTCTTTGAATTCCATTGTGCAGTAATTCATCCTTCTCTTTCCTTCTTCTGCGTGGACGTCGACATTAGCGGTTAGCGACAGCGTGTGCTTTGTGGGGTTGGTCAGTATCTGTCAATGGACTTGTGGTTGGGATGCTTTGTGGACAGTCTGTGCTTCATTATAGTTGGCTTTTTGCTGTTTGGGAAAATGGTTACATGGTGCTATTTGGGTTTGTGGTATTATCTCAGGGTGCAGTGGCATAGGATGGGGTAGGGTTTGGCTTATGATTCTTAGCTATCTTCATTTTTTTTGGGTGTTAAGGTTGCCATGTTTAGGTAGGTTTGTTTTGATGTAATACATCTGGAATCCTGCAGGGTGTCCTTTGCACTGTTCTGCATATCTTTTTGGCGATGCTGGAACCATATCTAAGTTCTTTTCTTTCCTTCACTTCAGTGTTAGATGTTGAATTTCAACTCCCTTGATGGTGACAATTTGACTAATTTTGATCCCGAACAGATGTTTTCCCTGGATAATTAACTTCAGCAGGCTGACGTAGCAACATGTATACTGTGTTGTTGTTGCTGCAGTGTTGG